AGCCGTGCGGCGCAGGCTGTGCGGTGCAACCGATATGGTGCAGGCTGCATGGCGCAGGCCTTGCGGTGCAAGCCGGGCGACACGAGACGTGTGGTGCAGGGCCTGCGCAGAGAGGGCGCCGACGAGGCGCCCACGAGGCGCCCACGAGCGAGCACCCCGCGAAAAGACTCGGCGCCCCCCCCCCCCCGGCGCCGACGAGGCGCCCACGCTGCGCCCACCGAGGCGCCCGCGAGCGGGCACCGATGCGCCCGCGGGGCACCCGCGGGCGGGCACACGGGCGAAGCCCCGGCAGACCTACTTAGCGCACGAGGCGCCCACGAGCCGCCCACGAGCGGGCTCCCGGCCAAGCCTCGGCACGCCCAGCCAGCGCGCACCTTCCTCCTCATCCCCTCCAGCTTCTCCTCTTCCCTCCCTCTCTCTTTCTCTCCTCCTGCTCCTGCTTCGGAAGGAGCCCTTCCCCATACTGCACAAGCAGTGCCTGGGTACCCTCCTAGACGACGCAGGCCACACACACATCCTCCTCCTCCTCCTCCTCCTCCTCCTCCTCCTCCTCCTCCTCCTTCTCCTCCTGATCCTCCTCCTCCTCCTGATCAGCGCACAAGGGGCGGGCAACAGGCGAAAGCGCCAAGGGGCGAGCGCCGGGCGAGAAACCTCGGCACGCTGCCCCAGCGCACGAGGCGCCCACGAGCGCCAGCCGGCGGGCCTTGGGCGGAACCCCAGGCGCACCGGCCCAAGACAAGGCGCCCACGATGCGCCCACGAGTCCACGAGCGCCCGCCAACTTTGCAGCCGAAGACCTGGCAAGCCCCACCAGTGGCCCGAAGCAGCTGAAGGAAGAGCCCGCAGGTGCGAGCAGCGCTTGGGGAGCATCATTTGTCGGAGGTGACTGCGGAGTTTCCGGGTCGGTGCTATGAACTCCCTCCCCCTGGGCGCGAAAAGTTCGCCCTGGGCTGCGCTGGAGGCGTCGCCAGGGGGGCGTCCAGCGCCGACCCAAGAGATCCGAGCGGAACTCCGAGAGTTCATGCTCATGCCAGCGATGTTTTTCCACCAGATGCCCCTGCCTCGCTCCCTCCCTCTACTCCTCCTCTCCCTCCCTCCTCCTCCTCCTCCTCCTCCTCCTCCTCCTCCTCCTCCTCCTCCTCATCTCCTCCTCCATCTCCTCCTCCTCCATCTCAACCTCCTCCTCCTCCTCCTCCTCCTCCTGCTCCTGTTTTTGGCTCCTGCTCCTGCTCATGCTCCTGCTCATGCTCATGCTCCTGCTCCTCTTCTTCCTCCTCCTCCTCCTCCTGCTCCTGCTCCTGCTCCTGCTCCTGCAACTGCTCCTGCTCCTGCTCCTCTCCTCCCTCCTCCTCCTCCTCCTCCTCCTCCTCTCCTCCTCCTCCTCCTCCTCCTCCCCCTCCTCCTCCTCCTCCTCCTCCTCCTCCTCCTCCTCCTCCTCCTCCCTCCTCTCCTCCTCCTCCTCCTCCTCCTCCTCCTCTTCCCTTATCCTCCTCCTCCTCCTCCTCCTCCTCCTCCTCCTCCTCCTCCTCCTGATCCTCCTCCGCGCCCCGTGGCCTCCGCTCTCCTCCTCCCTCCCCCCCCCTCCCTCCCTCCCTCCCCCCCTCCCCCCGCTCAGGGACTACGAACGACCGCTAAGGTCGGCTGCGCTTGAAGGCAGTTCACGTTACTGCCCAGCTGGGACAGTCTGCCTGCCTTGCTTCGCCTGGGTGCCGAAGCAAAGCTGCTATCGCACTCGTATTCTGCGAGTTGCGTGACGGCCTCTGCTGACAGGCGCATTGCTTCATCAGCGGCGAAATCCCCCAAATCGGGGACGTACTAACCCAGGTCAATCCTAACCCGGGTCAGTCGGGCGTTGCAGGATCCTGCAAAATCTTGCAGGATCCTGCAACCAAACCCGGGTCAGCCAGCCCGCACCTGGCAATGCAGGACCCTGCAAGATCCGGCGCTCTGGCTGACCCCCGTTTGCATTGGCCCCGTCTCTTGAGCCCCGACCGACACAAGAGAGCATCCTCTTCCTGCCTCCCCTGCCTCGTGCACAGAGCTGCCCGAGGGATCGGCATCCCTGGGCCCGCGGTGCGCCTGGCAGGGCGCCAGGTGCCGCGCGCCAAGGGCTCGACCCCCCCCGTCTGGTGGCTGGTCCTGCCATGCGCGCAGCCACCTGCACCGCCACCTGGGGGCCCTCCACCACGAAAGGGAGCGTTGAATCTTACGCAAAACCTCCCTCCAAGAAGCCGGGACGGGGCTAAATCGGGTGAGGATACATCGAGAATCTCTGAGATCCTGCGACTCTGGACAGTGTCTCAGGCGCCTGGCCTCCTCGGAGCGTTGAACGCTCAGAGAGCGTTCCAGAACGCTCTGGAACGGACTTATCCTCGTCCTAACCCCGTCCGACCCTCCTCTCTCCTCTTCTCGGGGAGCAATCGGGCAACCCAAAGCCGTGCGGTGGCGGACCGCGCGGTGACCTCGGAGCCCTCCCAGTAGGCCTCACCGCACGGACCTGGAACCTCGGAGGCCCCCCCCGCCCCCGGCCGCACGAGACGCCCTCGGAGAGAGGCCCGTGCCCCCAACAAAGTGCGGCGGTCACCCCGAATCCCCACTGACTCACCACGGGGTGTGGTCACCACACTGTGTTCGGGGGCGGCCAAAAGAGGGGGGTGTCCAAGAGGGGGGGGTGCAAATCATGACCTGCGGCACGTGCGCGGCCCAGCGGGGGGGCCAGGGACGTAATGAAGTGAGAAGAGGCGCCATGGAATCTGAGGACATATCATGGCCCACGCCATGATATCCACCCCCCCCTAGCCATCCCCCCCCTCTTTGCCGCCCCCGAACCACGGGGTGTGGTCACCGCACCGTGTCGGTCGCCCCGAGACAACTATCCGGGCAAAAGACCCAACCACATGCAGTTGCGAATACCGCAAAACAGGTGGGACGGAGGAGGGGAAGCTCCACGAGAAGCGTGAGTGTACGCCGACATGGGCAGGGGGGCGCATGTGGACACCGCCGCCAAAGCCGTCTGTGAAGTTCTCTAGGGGCAAGCACGAAACGCCGTACTGGGTGGCTCGGACAAATACGATCACAGGCGCTGGGGCCTTCGGTGGAGCCCTCCATGGGGCTACGAACCACTGTGCTGGGGTGGCGCGGACACATGTGATCAAAGCCAAGGGGCCTTCGGTGGAGATCCCAATGAGGCTGTACTGGATGGCGCGGACGCAGGTGATCAAGGCCACGTGGGGCTTGATCACCTGCGCCCACTGGGGAGGCGGACAAATGTGATCACATTCAAGGGGCCTTCGATGGAGCTCTCGGTGGGGCCAGGTGGCGCTGTGATGGGTGGCGCGGACGTAGCTGATCACAGCCACTGGGACCTTCGGTGGGGCCCCCTACAGGGCAACGAGGCGCTGTACTGGGTGACGCGGACACGTGTGATCACTACCACTGGGGCAATCGGTGGAGCTCCCCATGGGGCCACGAGGCGCTGTACTGGGAGGCGCGGACGCATGTGATCACACCCACGTGGGTCTTCTGTGGAGCTCCCTGTGGGGCCACGAAGCGCTGTACTGGGTGTCGCGGACGCATGTGATTACAGCCGCTGGGGCCTTCGGTGGAGCTCCCTGTTGGGCCACGAAGCGCTGTACTGGGTGTCGCGGACGCATGTGATTACAGCTGTTGGGGCCTTCGGTGAAGCTCCCTATTGGGCCACGAAGCGCTGTACTGGGTGGCGCGGACGCACGTGATCACAGCCACTGGGGACTTCGTTGGAGCTCCCTACAGGGCCACGAGGCGCTGTGTTCTCGGGCGCAGACGCGTATGATCACAGCCACTAGGGCCTTCGGTGGAGATCCCTCTGGGGCCACGAGGCGCTGTGATGGGTGGCGCGGACGCATATGATCACAGCCACTGGGTCCTTTGGTGGAGGGCCACGAAACGCTGTACCAGGTGCGGAGGGCCGAGGCAGGGATGTAAGGATGGGGAGGAGGAGGAGGAGGAGGAGGAGAGGAGGAGGAGGAGGAGGAGGAGGAGGAGGAGGGCAGCGGGAGGGAGAAAGACGACGCGGGGCGCTGTCTTCTTTTTTACTGAAGACCCAAACCAACAAGATGGTTGGAACAAAAAGGTACCGATACCGCTACTCCCCGGATCCATCCCCGTGTGCGTCCTGACCAGAAGATCGAAGATAATCCAGCCGTGGCGACGAGGGCCTTCCAGGACGAGCAGCGGCATCGATGCCATTTCGTCTTATGGCCCTCCCGTCCCCTCCCCTCCCTCCCCTCCCTCCCTCCTCCTCCCTCCCTCCCTCCCTCCCTCCCTCCCTCCTCCTCCTCCTCCTCCTCCTCCTCCTCCTCCTCCTCCTCCCAGGAAGACCCAAATCTACCGTTAGGCTTTGGGCGTGGCACCTCTCCGGAGGGAGCCTGGGAAGCTGAGGGAGGTTTGGGCACGGTGGCTCGCAAGGCCTCGTACCCTCCCCCTCTCTGCCAAGGCTGCTTCCCTAGAGTGGTCTCGTCCATCCCTGGGCTGACGTTGCGGGGTTGCTGGCGGTCGCGGGTGGGGCCCCGCAGCTCTCTACTAAAGGGGCTGAGCCCGCAGTCCCAACATGCCACTTCGCTGGGAGGTCACCAACCAACAAACCTCCTCCTCCTCCTCCTCCTCCTCCTCCTCCTCCTCCTCCCAGGAAGACCCAAATCTAGCGTTAGCCTTCCGGCTTTGGGCGTGGCACCTCTCCGGAGGGAGCCTGGGAAGCTGAGGGAGGTTTGGGCACGGTGGCTCGCAAGGCCTCGTACCCTCCCCCTCTCTGCCAAGGCTGCTTCCCTAGAGTGGTCTCATCCATCCCTGGGCTGACGTTGCGGGGTTGCTGGCGGTCGCGGGTGGGGCCCCGCAGCTCTCTAGCTAAAGGGGCTGAGCCCGCAGTCCCAACATGCCACTTCGCTGGGAGGTCACCAACCAACAAACCTCCTCCTCCTCCTCCTCCTCCTCCTCCTCCTCCTCCTCCCTCCTGGCCCCGTCGGCCTCCGACCTCCTGCTGTAGTCCTGCGCGAAGTTGCTGCGCGCCTCGTGGGGCGCCCGCGCGCCCCCGCCCGACGCCCCCGCTCGCCGCCCCTCCCGCCGAGAAGCACGCCGCCGCCTGCCGGCCCCCCTCGTCCTCCTCCATCTCCCTCCCTCCCTCCCGCCCTTCCTCCCCCTGCCTCCCTGCCTCCCTCCCTCCCTCCGTTCTCCTTCGCCTCCTCCCCCCCCCCGCCTCGCCGCGGCCCGCCTCTCTGGGACGCCTGCAGAGTCCGGCGGCCGAGGCTCGGAAGAGGGAGGCAAAAGGGCACACGGCTCCGAGCGAGTCGGGCTGCACGGGAGGGCCTGTGGAGCAGGGCGAAGAACGGTATAACATAAACTTCTTCGCTGTCGGGGGCGCCTGTCCCTGGGCGGCTGGAGAGTTTCTACCCCTACGGTGGCACCGTAGGGGTAGAAGCTTTCCAGCCGCCCGGGGACAGGCGCCCCCGACAGCGAAGAAAATTATGTTATACCGTTCTTCGCTCGCTGACTTGCGGAGCAGGGCGAAGGCAGACAGGCCCGAGCCAGAGCGAGCCGCGAAGTCGGATCGGATCGGGGACGGACCAGATCGCCGACGGGCCGCCCCGAAACGGATCGAGATCGGAAGCCCGCGTCCGGCTCCAGCCGTCCCCGGCCGATGCCGGGGAATCGAGCCAAAGCGAGTCGAATCGCAGACGGCCATGATCAGGGCCCCGTAGACCCGGACGCGCTAGACCAGGACATCCAAGATCCCTCGAAACCATTGTTTCCAGACGGCGGCAGGCCCTCAAAGCATGCAAAACACCCCCTAGACCCAGACAAAGACCAAAATTCTGAAGAGCAGCAACAAAAACCTGCACTGGACGACCAAGTCTGACTTTGCAGGAAAAGGGGCGTTTCCCCGACTTGCCAATGTCCTGGTCAGTCTGTGTCCTGGTCTCCAGGGGCCTGACCTCACAGGGCAAGGACATGTCCGGACGAGGATGGATCGAACATCTGTGAGACCCGGCGGGCCCAGAGGATCTGCCGGGCGCCGCGGCCGTTCCAGAGCGTTCAAGGAAGGCTCTGAGAGCGTTCGGGAGCGCCATGTGGCGACTTGTCCTTATCCCAGGCCTGCCCGGTGGAGGGAGGGTGGGAGGAGAAGAGACGGGAAGAGATCGGAGAGGGGAGGGAGAGGCGGGAGGGAGGAGGGCGAGGTTCTTTAGTTCGTTCCCATTCAAGCTGAACTATGACCACAACAAAAAACTACGTTCTGGACTGCGACTCTGAAGGGTCGGTTCGCTCATTCGGGGACACTTCTCACAGACCTCTTGGCCGACTTCGAAGGCGAAAATGCAATGGGCGGAGGAGGGGGAGTCAAGAGGAGGGAGAGGGTGGAACAGGGTGGAGGGAGAAAGAAAGAGGGGGCAACAGCGGCCTGCATCGAGTCCACAAACCAGAGCGGATCAGAACGTGCATCGAATCGAGACGCATCGACAACAAAGTCGACATCGAATCGAATCGGCCGTGCCAAGAAGCACACTGGCGCAATGCAGATACCGGGCCGCATCGAATCCTCGGAACACCGGATTCGGATCGGATCTGGCCGGCCGAAGTCGGTACCGGATCGAATCGATCGAACCGAAATGGGCCCTGGGAGGTGGACCAGGGAGAAGGGAGAAGGGAGGCGAGGGTGAGGGGGGCAGGAGGGGAGAAGGAAAGAGGGGGGGGAGGGGAGGGCGAGGGGGAGGGGAGCAGGAGGAGGAGGAGGGGGGGGAGGATGAGGGGGAGGAGAGAAGGGAAGGGAGGGGGAGGGGCGGAGGAGGGACAACATGAACTGCAGCGAGCCCTGCACGGTCACGAGGGGCCGCCAACTCTCACGTGTGCACGCGCGGCCCGCACACCTCTCACGGTCCACTCCCGCCGTGCCACCGCTCTTGATGCCGCTTGCTCCCCTATCCCAGGGCTACCTAGAATCGAATCGACAAGTCGGATCGGCCATCGGCATGAATCGCATCGACTGAAATCGGCAGCCGAGTCGGGAAAAATCGAGTCGGCAGACATCGGCTGGCTTGTAGGCCTCCATTGAGAAATCGGATCCCAAATCGGAATCCAAAATCAAATCGAATCGGAATCGAATCGAATGACTCGAAACGAGCCCTGCCATCCTCCCTCCCCACGGCCGTGAGGGGCCACGGACACTGGTCAGTGCGAGCGCATGGTCCAGACACAGGCTGGACATGCAGCTCAGGATGCCAAGGCCTGGTCAAGAATGAAGCGCCACCCTGGGAGGGGGCAGATGTTCCCACGTTGGGGCCAAGACCCACATGACCCTCCTGAGAAAAAGCACTGCCAAACGTTCCCGCACTGCCCTGAACAAGGTGTACCCGCCAAGATTGCGCAGTGCCAGCGCTAGGGTGGTCTATGATTCGATTGTGCCCTTGTTGCACGACCATGACGCACAGTCTGATTTCAAGTATACTGCTGACCCTTCCTCGGTCCCCGAGGGCTTGATGCAGTTTTACGCTCCCTGGAGCGAAGATGCTGACGAAAGATGTCTGGTCTTTCATGACGATGCCTCTGAGAAGAAGAAGAAACAAACAAACAAACAGACCATGCCTCTAAGAAGGAGAAACAAACAAACAAACAAACAAACAAACAAACAAACAAAACAAAACAAACAAACAAACAAACAAACAAACAAACAAAAAAGCGGAAGCGGGTTGACCCCGAGATTCAACGGTCCGCTCAGAGACTCAGACCCAGGAGCCCGAGACCTGCCCAATTCGCGCAGGCCGGTGAGGCCAAGTCGAACCTGACAGCACGCACGAGGCTGAAGCCGAGCAGGCCGGGGGACCCCCGTGGAGGTAAGGGACACTGGGCCAGAAAGCGGCAGAGGCCTGGACCAAAAAGAAAAGGATTCTGCCTACGGCTTCCTCGACAAGCAACAAAATCCAAGCTGCCCTCCAGGACGACCAGTAGGTCGGTCATCCGACCGGGAGGCGGCGATTTCATGCGAGACTTCCTCACGGACAGAATCATCGCTCTCAGCGCCGCCAGCAGGTGACGATTTGACTTGACACTTCCTGACATCCAGGTTTCTGGCCCGAATTCGTGCCGCCAAGAACTGCCTTTCTCGCGTGAGTCTTCCTGAAAGCCGTGCTTCTGGAGGCATGCCATTCCGCCAGAGATCGGCGATCTCGTGCTTGAAATCCAGAACGACGCGTTTTTTCGGTCCGCGATCGACGAGCGCAGATCCACAGGGTATGGTTTGCTGAAAAAGGAACCGGTCGTCTCTGTGTCATCCAAGGGGATGGTGCCCCTTCTCCTCCCTCCCTCCTCCTTCTCTGGTACCTCGTCTCCTCCTTCCTCGTCCTTCTCCTCCTCCTTATCCTCCTCCTCCTCCTCTTCCCTCCTCCTCCTCCTCCTCCACCTCCTCCTCCTCCTCCTCCTCCTCCTCCTCCTCCTCCTCCTTAAAGGGAACGGGCGTCTCTGGTGCCCCTTCTTCTCCCTCTCTCTGGCCCCTTTTCCGTTTCCGCCTCCATCGCTGGGTCAGAGGACGACAACCCGTTCGGTGGGAAAACGACACAACGAAGCTTCAGTTAAATGCAGACATCAACTGAGCGATGCTACGCAGCATCCCTCGGCAAAACATCTGCAGTGCAGGAGCAGCTAGAGTCAAAGGGAAACACATACAAAAAAAGTTCACACGTAGGCTTCAGCTCGCGTGAAAAGTCTGCGGCTGGGTCCCGACCGGGTTCCAACGGTGCGGTCTCGGGGACTCCGGAGAACTGCGAGTGCTAGTCGTATTGGTTTGTCTGCACACGACTGGCTCGCAAGGGGAGGCTCCGGAGAACTGCGAGTGCCAGCCGTATTGGTTTGCCTGCACACGTCTGGCTCGCAAGGGGAGGCAGTGAAGGGCGGAGGAGAAAAGAGGGGCAGGAAAAGGATGAGAAAAGTCGGGAGCCTTTAGCCACGATAGGTGCTCGCGAACGCGATAGCTGCAGGTTACAGACCCAAGCTGTCCCAGTGGGCTACGCTGGGCGTGATGAAAAAAATAACGCCACCCGCGGCTACGTCACTAAAGGGGGTCCGGAATAACACGGAAGAAGACGGCCTAGATATACTTGACAACGGACCCTCTCCGAGGAGACTCGTCGAACTTCTGGCGCACTTGACCGCGCAGAGGATTGGGCGGAGGACAAGAAAGAAACTCCGAGATTCCAGTGCCCTTTCCTCCTCCACCTGATCCTCCTTCATCCCCTTCCCCTCCTCCGTCAAGGAAAAAGATCGGAAGCGTCAATGCACACATCGCCAATGCAATTCTGGGCTTCACTCACCCGCAAACCTTGTAGTGAATATGAAAAGCGAAGCAGTGAATCTTCCGAACGGCTCGGTGTGTGTGAAGCGTGTGGACTCCGTCCATGAAGTAGCAAGGCTCGAAATACAGATGACGATCCCGAGCCTGGCGATATCTGATCCGAAAACTGGTGAACACGATCTGGGAGTCTAGACCCTCGCCTCTTGCGTCGGCTGGCCTTGCCCGTAACGACAGCAGCAACGCTAGGGAGGCGGCCTCAAAGCTAGGGTCACAATCCGCCACCATGCCGAAGGCACATTGGATCGCATTCGGATGCATGACGGCTGCCTGGTTGGTTACAGGTCGTAGCTGGACAGTCGGCCGACACGACTTAGACAGGGTTGATAGTTACATAAGTACACCGATAGCGGACGTAGTCAGATGGAGGGCTAGACAGCCAAGGTCCGCCACCACGCCGCCCTGGCACGAAGGGGCGCGGCACACTGCCATGGACTGTCAGGTGTGCTTGTAGAGATCTTCTGAGGGAGGATCCGCCCCACCCCCACCCCTTGGGCAAGACCCGAGAGGATGTGCTGCCCGTCCCTCCGTCGTGCAAACATTGGGCCTGCGCCCTCGAGGCCAAGATCCGTTGTAAAACAGGTCCGCGCTCCCGAGACCACGAACCCTCGTACAAAACACTAGGCTTATGTCGGGCCTGTCCCCATACAGGGGGCTTTTCGACGAATAATAA